TCTCTCTCTCTCTCTCTTTCTAGTTCGTCAGTAAGAAAGAGAAAAAAAAGTTCGCGCGTTAAAGAGGTTGCTCGCGAAAAGATTGGAAATCGCTTAACATATCCAAGCGAATTACACCTGGCATCGAGGCACGAAGCAAGAAACTAGCACGCCTTTAAGGCATGCGCAAGCACACAACCGACTGTTATTTACGACGTTCGCCAGTCGTAACGGTGCATCGAGTCTCGTAACTGTCGATAATTTTTCATTAACGTCCGTGCCATCCGCGTCTCGTTAACAGCCGAACAAATCACTTTTACGGGTTCTTCGAATCGCCACCGATTCCCGCGTTTTTCCTCCATTCTCTCTGCCGATAATGTCACCGTGAATTATTCTGCCCTGGCGCTACGTTTAACCTCTTGCGTTGCGCACGTCGAGAATTTTTTGTCCCAAAATTGCAATATTTTCGCAGTTTTAAGTATATTCAAGTATAATCCAAAAGGCAAAACAAATAATAAATTTATTACTTGTTAATAATTTCTATCCAGTGATGTCACACTGACGAGTTGAAAAAGAAAGCGACGAATTATTTTATATGGCTTGGTCACTCGTTATGGTCCGCAAATCAATTGCCAACGCAAGGGGTTAACCTCTTACGCTGGAATGATGTGCCACGCACGTTTGAGAATTTTTTGTCCCAAAATTGCTATATTTTCTCAGTTTTAAGGTTATATTTGAATATAACCTAGAAAAAACGAATAATAAATTTATTACTTCTTAGTAATAATTTCAATCCAGCAATATTATACCGACGAGTTCGAAAAGAAAACGACGAATTATTGTGTACGGTTTGGTCACTCGTTATGGTCCGCAAATCAATTGCCAACGCAAAGGGTTAACCTCTTACGCTGGAATGATGTGTCACGCACGTTCGAGAATTTTTTGTCCCAAAATTGCTATATTTTCTCAGTTTCAAGTGTATTTCAATATAACCTAAACAAAATAAATAATAAATTTATTACTCTTTAGTAATAATTTCTATCCAGTGATATCACACTGACGAGTTGAAAAAGAAAGCGACGAATTATTTTATATGGCTTGGTCACTCGTTATGGTCCGCAAATCAATTGCCAACGCAAGGGGTTAAGTCTCTTACACTAGAATGATGTGCCACGCACGTTTGAAAAATTTCCTCTCCCAAAATTCCAATATCCTCTCAGTTTTAAGGTTATTTAAATATAACCTAAGAAAAACGAATAATAAATTAATTACTTTTTAGCAATAATTTCTGTCCAGTGATATCACACTGACGAGTTGAAAAAGAAAGCGACGAATTATTTTATATGGCTTGGTCACTCGTTATGGTCCGCAAATCAATTGCCAACAGAAGGGGTTAATCTTCGGTATCGTGATTGTTTTTTTTTTTATATAGAGTTGGAATGTAAATCGAGATGGAAAATTTATTATTCATATCGTTGATC